ATGCTGACTATAAATTAACTTTTGTGTTAAATCTGCGTGCTGTTATTTTTAACATTACCAGCCTTCTTAATAATAATAATAAAAAAATATTTACCAGGAAAATAGCCTGGAAGTCTATTTTACCAAGACTGGTATAATAAGCTTAAAAGCATGTTTGTCTATTTTACCGGGACCGGTAATATGCGTCTTACAGAAACCTTCCGTATCTGAAACTGATATAAAAGTTTTAGAAGGTAAAGTTTATAAAAACTAAAAATATGAATCAGTGTTTCTCAATCGGTGTTCCTGGATCCCTAGTGTTCCACGAGGGAGTGCTAGGGGTTCCCTGAAAACAGTGATGAAAAAAGCTAATGCATTTTCAGGTATTAACAATCATAGGAAATACGATGGACCGAACATATGAGCAACGACGAGGTTTTAGAGAATGAAAACAAAAAGGAAACATACTTAACATAAGGAAGAGGCATTTGAAATTTCTGGATCACGTAATGAGGAGGAAGGGTTTAGAAAATATGATACTCACAGGACGGATAAAGGAAAGAGGGTCAGAGGAAAGCAACGCGTGACGTACTTAAGTAAATGGATGGAAGAACAGGCATTGGGAGAAATAGCAGAAAGCAGAAAGTTTATTAAGAGCTACAAGAGACATGAAGATGTGGAGGGCCATGATCGGCTACGTCATCAAGAAACATGGCTCATAAAGGAGAAGCTATTTAGCAATGTCTATTTGGCGTCAGTGTGAAACTGCCTTCGCTGGCAGGATCTGTCGTATATTATGAATATTTTAAGGGTGTTCCAATAACTTGGACCGATTTTAAATTGAATTAAGTTAAAAATCGGTCCAAGTTATTGGAACACACTTATTATGCTCCCTATATGAACTACGATAAAGAGGTAGATGTTAATAATGGTATATTATATTTTTATGCGGGGGTGGGTACTCTGAGATATGAAAACGATTTTCAAGGGTAAAAACAATGTAAGAAACGTTATTCTAGATCATTTGAATATAACTTACCTCATTCCAAACGCATCTACAGCGCTTGGTTTTCCCCGTATAGTCCAGTGCACCGATAATTAGGTGGAGCTATGCTGGTGACAGAGATGTTCATAATTGATATAAAAATGATCTTGAACAAATGGTATTCTCAGTATCCTTCTGTAGAACCACATTTCGGTTCTCTCCTTCATCTGTGAACAGATTGTCCAGCATTTACTAGCATATATGAGGACTGATACTGCGTAAGAGTTTACTCTATTTCGAGCGAAATTTTTCGATTTCTTAATACTTTGCTTAGATTTTGGAAGGCATCTTTCGTTAAAGGAATGCGCCTTCGGATTTCATTTTAGCACTTTCCGCCAATCCCTTGAAATTGCTTAAAATGCTTTGATTTTCCTTCTAAAGGCCTGTGCATCGTGAATTAGGTGGTGATATGCTGATGACATAGGTTTTCGTATTTGACATAAGAATGACCTTGAAGAAATTTTCATGGTATTCTCAGTATCCTTCTGTAGAACCATATGGTGTTATGCTGATGACAAACAGTACGAGGCAAAAAAGGACGCATCCATAGAAAGTTGATTTTTGTATTTTTACCAAGACAAGTGTGTAATAGGATTCGTTTATAAATATAGAAGATATTAATACAGGTATACATATATACGTTATTCAAGTCAAAAAATGATTTATTTTTTTATTGGGTAACCTTTTGCTTTAATAACAGCCTTAATTCTTCGTGGCATGCTATAGACTAAATTCTTTAGTATGTCACTGTTCTTCGCCAGATTTTTCCAGCATTTCTTTAATTCGCAAAAAAAAGCTTATCTACTGTTTTAACTTTCCTATTACGGGCTCGCTTGTCCGTTATCGTCGAAAGGTTTTCAATTGGGTTAAGATCAGGACTCTGACTAGGCCACTGGAAGAGTTGCAATTTACCCTCGCCGCGCTTCTCGAGATAACTTTATTCTTTAAGGCAGAATGCTTAGGGACGTTATCGTTACTAAATCATTTTTTACTTGTATAATGTACCATATGTACACCCGTATTAATATATATATATATATATATATATATATATATATATATATATATATATATATAATTTAATTTAAAGACCCCCTTTAAGACTCCATTTGTTAGAATTTATTTCAGCAGAGAATTTTTTTTTCTCTGGATCTTCAGATTTCACTTTCAAAAGGTGAAACGAAAAATGAATTTAAAATTTACACTTTTGTCGGGTAATAATCATACTTATAAAACCCAGGCTGTGTGTGTGTGTGTGTGTGTGTGTGTGTGTGTGTGTGTACGTTTATATATTGAATCGGATTTCCTACATTTTTCAACCGATTTCAACAAAATTTCACAGGACTACGTAAAATTACCTTGCGGTGATTCTGACAGCGCCAAAAAAGGGAAAAAACACAATTGTTTTTGCACGAAATCAATTTGAAAACACGATTAAGAGGCATCGCTGTTTCGAGAATGAAATGGGGACAACTCATATCGAGTTATACTTATTATAAAACCCAGGTTCTTTGTTTGTTTGTGTCTGTGTTCGTTTATATATGGGATCGGATTTCCTACATTTTTCAAGCGATTTCAACAAAACTTCACTTTTTTTTTGGCAGGTAGTGTTTCTTATTGTCTTGCACACTTTTTCTTTATTTTTACATTCAGAATGTTTTAAAAATTCCATTTACAAGACAATTGTTTATAATAAAATTGAAAAATTCTATTCAATCGGTAGACGCATAACGATTGAAAACAATGTTTTTGTTTGAGTTTGGGCTTGACCAATTCATGAAAAAAAGAAAAGAAAAAAAAAAACTAATTAAGACATGCATGTCCATCAACCTTAAACAATAATCTTTGTCAATTTTATTTTTTATTTTTTATGATGGTCGATACTTGATCTATCTCTTACTGTTACATCCCCGGGCAACGCCGGGCTCTACTGCTAGTAAGCTTATATAATTGGACATAGAAGGTGGTGACTAATGGTGTGAGAGAAATGGTCGAGTTTAGAGACGGAAGGGAGAGTTTTGAAATATATATATATATATATATATATATATATATATATATATATAAAATATATGGATATAGTTTCCGACAGTATGAAGAAAAATATACGGAAAAAACAAACAAAAATCCTTATATGCAATTATGCTGTTTTAATGTTAATATAATGTCAACGTCGGAAGTTTCGGTCTAATAAACCATCTTCAGGACATATTGATAAAATATAATTAACATTATCAATTCAACATGACAAAGACGATGCACATAAGAACAAGACTTATCCAAACAGATAACTGAAAGTTTTATAAGATCAGCGCTCCATTTAAAACATGGTCACGTTGTCGTCACGTGGGCGACGCTGTGAAAACGTATTCCTAAAATTTGAGTATTTGGAATGAAAAATGAAAAGAATTCTATTTTGATCTAAAATTTATATGTACGCTTGATTCCGTGAAGATTTTAAAATATTTTCATAATAAAAATCTTAGGCGGATTTATGAAGCAGGCATAATATCCATCTCACGCACGGTGAATACTAGACCTGGTTTCTTTAGTATTTCCCCCTTTTCTAGCGAGATTAATGCGACAAGCGTACATATAAATTTTAGATCAAAATAGAATTCTTTTCATTTTTCATTTTTCATTCAAAAAACTCAAATTTTAGGAATACGTTTTCACAGCGTCGCCCACGTGACGACAACGTGACCATGTTTAAAAGGAACGCTGATCTTATAAAACTTTCAGTTACCTTATTTTTCTTCACACACACACACACACACACACACACACACATATATATATATATATATATATATGGTTACCCAACAAAAAAAAACTAAATCATTTTTGACTTGTATAATGTATATATTTAATATCCTGTATTAAGAAACGAATTCTATTACTCATGGTAAAAATACAAAAATCGACTTTCTATGCGTACGATCATTTTTTTGCTTCATACTAGATATAAGGTGTTCATATTAGTTATAAGAATGATCTTGAGCAATTGTTCATGGTCTTATTATTGATAAACGCCATAGACGTTAATAATGGTATATAATATTTTTTATGGAAGGTGACATTAGAAAACTATTTTAAGACGTTTAGAAACGCTGATAAAATAAATAAATAAACATAAGAAATATTAAAACAAAGATGGAGTTTTATTTATTTCGAAAATTACTGGTAATAATGAATTTAGACGAATTTCCGCTTTCTTTTATGTAATATGAAACAGCCCAGGTTCGACTGAATATTTACTTAATGTTTAATCTTCTGTTTTTTTTTCACACACCTGTCAATATGGCGGGAAACATTTTCCCGCGTAACGCCACGTGGTGAATATTTCATCATCGCTAGAAATAACCGACTCACAGCGCATGCGCATTTATATCTCTATCATCTGCGCGTCAACGATAGTGAGTAACTGCCTCTTTGTGAAGAAGCACACGCAAACACACAGACACACACGTTTGTCATTGAGCTGATTATGTTTTTGTGTGTATATATATATATATATATATATATATATAAATACACACACACACACACGTTGCGATTGAGCTGATTATGTTTTTCTGTACACACACACATATATATATATATATATATATATATATATATATATATATATATTTAAATAGACACACGTTTGTGATTGAGCAGATTATGTGTGTATATATAAAATATATATACATATATCATTTAAATATATATATATATGTGTGTCATTTAAATTAAATTGTACGTCAGTAGAATTATACTCCATTTGTTCTCATTTTTACATGGATATATATATATATATATATATATATATATATATATATATATATATATATATATATATATATATATATATACTTAGATCAGATTAGATGAAACTATAAATAAATTCATATCTATGTATGATTGATGATTCGTATTGTTTATGGCAGCTGATTTTGTCTTTTTTCAAATTGAATGGGACGTTATAGCGCACATGTTCCATACTGTGGGAAGTAACATTATTTTAAATAGGTTTGATGGAGTCTGGAATTTAATTCTCAATTACATATCTTCTTCTTCTTCTTCTTCTTCTTCTTCTTCTTCTTCTTCTTCTTCTTCTTCTTCTTTATGCCCTGTCTTTTCAAGACATGGGCGTTCATGGTTCTCCACAACTTTCTGTCCTTTGTAGATCTTAGCAATGTTTGTCGTTTTGCCATATCTCTTAATTAATCCCATTTCTACCAAACGTTTACGCAAACTCATTAAGCAAGTTATTCACGGTTTTCCTCTATCCCTCTTACTGTGAGTGTTGAATTTTCGAAGCCTTCTTTCCTTATTATGAACCCTAGAAATTTACAATTGTTTTTTTCTGATTAATTTATTTGCAATTTCAAGAGAAATAATCATATCTATCAAGAATTTCGAATGTATGACGCCTTGCATATTTTAAAAAAATCTCTTTAAGATGTTAGCGATTATGGTTCTCCACAGCTTTCTTTTTTAGCTTTAGCGCAGTTTTTTTCGCCCATGTTTTTTTTTATTTTTATTTTAGTGATGTCTATATTGTTTAATATAGGTGGTCATGGCTCTCCACGGTTTTCATTTACATTATTATCTCTGAATGATCATGACTTCTTAGGGAAAAGAAAACGTAGTGGATTCTCGTTGCCTTCTCTAGTTTAAATTAAGAATTGTCTTGCTCGTCTCGGCGATGTTTTTTTCCATTTTTCTTATTTCTAGTTTTCATGATATCAGTTGTTTTCTATATTTTAAAATGTGCCTTTATCATCTGCGGATGAAGGCGGTTATAGCTCTCCCCGGCTTCCTTTCCTTTAAGAAAGATACCTTCTTGGAAATTCAAAATGTGTTTCCAACCATTTAGAAGTTGGCTTCTCTTCTTCAAAAAAGTTTTTTCCTGAATTTTGAATTCAGAACTGTCTTTCTCTTTGGGGATATAGGCGATCATGGCTCTCCACAGCTTCTATTTTTTATTATCTTTGAATTGCCTGACTTCTGGGGAAAGATTCGAAATGATTGCCGTTTCCTAGTCAGCTGTTTAAAAATCACTGTAGCTTATTTCCCATAAGGTCGTAAAGGATAATAGCTAACCACTGGTTCTTTTTTTAATTATCTTTGAGTTACCATGACTCCTTGGGAGAGATGGTGGTGTGACTTCCCGTTGACTTCTCCACAGTTTTGTATTCAAAACACTCTTTCTTCCTTCGAAATGTATGGCTCTCCACTGCTTCCTTTTCTTTATTATTGTGGAGCTGTCTATTATCTGTAGATATAGGCGGTTATGCCTCACCCCAACTTCCTTTCTCTTTATTAGCTTTTATTTGCAATGTATTCTTAGAAAATTCAAAATGGTTGCCGTTGCCTACTCAATGTTTTAGAATTCAGTGTAGTTTATTTCCCCTAAGCTGGTAATGGCTCTCCACTGCTTCCTTTTTTATTATCTGTGAATTGACATGACTTCTTAGGAAATATCATGGAACGATTTCCTGTTGCCTTCTCAGATGTTTTTAGATTTAGAGCCGTCTTTCTCCCTTCCAGATGTTAGCGATCATGGCTCTCCACTATTTTTTGTATTATCCTTGAATTAACAAAACTTATTGAGGTAGACAGTGGGGTGATTTACCGTTGCCTTCACTACGGTTTAGAATTTAGAGTAATCTTTCTCCAGGATGTACATGGTTCTCCACAGCTTCCTTTTTTATCTGAGAATTGTCATGATTTCTAGGGAAAGATTGGAATTCTTGTCTACTCAACTTTTTAGAATTCAGAACAACTTATTTCCCTTCAGAACGTATACGATCATGGCTCTCCACTACTTCCTTCTGGGAATTGCTATGACTTCTTGGTGAAAGTAGCAGAGTGGTTCCGCATTGCCTTCACCACGGTTTTTGAATTCAGAGCTGCTTTCTCCTTTGGAGATATAGGTGGTCATGACTCTCCACAGCTTCCTGTTCTTTATTATTTGTGAATTACCATGACCTTTTAGAAAAGATAGCAGAATTATTTTCAGTTGTCTTATCCACAGTTTTGGATCCAGAACTTTTTTTTATTGCTGGGAGACATGTGTAGTCTTTGTTCGCCATAGCTTTCTTTTTTTCTTTATTAATTGTGTACTGCCATAACTTTTGGAAAAGATTAAATAATAGTTCTCTGCTGTTTACTCCACGGCTTAGAATTTAGTGTAGTCTTTCTTCCATGATGCTACAGTCTGTCGTCACTCTCCATATATTCTTCTTCTTTGTTATACATTTATAACTACTAGCAGCCATACCCAGCTGGTCGATCAGAAAAAGCGTTCAATTAAAATAGAGCAAAAACAGCATCAAGTTTCGATGTAACAGAGTCTATCTTCTTCAACTACTTTAAAGTACTTTCATTAAAAAAATAGTTTGAAATTATGTAGTTACTGATATAACAGAAGTAGTCTGTATTTATTCAATCAAAGCTAGCCGAGGACATGAAGGGGTAAAACAGGCAACATGAAGACCCACTCCAGACAACAATTATTTTAGAGTTTTTGAAATTCAATTTGTCAGTCTGTTACCCTGTCCTGCTTTCCTACTATTTGTCTTTTGAGTATCAGATTTTCCAAGCCCTCTTTTCTCATTAAGTGTCCCAGAAATTTCAACTTCCTCTTCCTGATGTTAAGCATAAGTTTCCTCTTTGTTTCCATTCTCTTGAAAACCTCGCCATTGCTCACCTGCTCGGCTCATGGTATCTTCAACATCCTTCTGCTATTTCTGTTGCTTCATGTGTCTTCATCATCTTTGAGGAGATTGTCCAGAATTCGCTGTCATACAAGAGGACAGATAATATGATTAAAAGATAACATTTTCGTTTTGGGGTCGTTTATATTTACTTACTATAAACGAAATTAAATAGATTATATCGTTTATTTAAAATATTTATTTCATTATTATAAACTAGCAGACACACCCTACTGTTCGATCAGAAAAAGCGTTCAATTAGAATGGAGCAAAAACAGCATCATGTTTAGATATAACAGAGTCTATCTTCTTCAATTACTTTAAAGTACTTTCATTAAAAAACATTTTGAATTAATGCAGTTACTGATATAACAGAAGTCGTCTGTATTTATTCAATCCAAGTTAGCCGAGGACATGAAGGGGTAAAACAGGCAACATGAAGACCCATTTCAGACCACAATTATTTTGGAGTTTTTGAAATTCAATTTGTTAGTGTGCTACCATGGATGTAAAAGAGGATAAATTTATAAAGCAATTGTTAAGTTTGATGAAAATTGGTTGGAAAGATCAACGAAAAATAAGAAAGAAACCAGTTAAAATTGCCATTTTTCGCTATTTACACTCTATGGGTGGACTGAATTATTAAATTAAATGATTGCTAAACAATCAACTTATTGTTGGCTACAACTGAGTGAAGTTTGTATTAGGTTGCTTGAAAATTGAAGGAGTTTTTAATTTAAGATTTGTGTTGAAATCGATTTGTGTTGAAATCGATTTTTTTTGTTTTTCGCGCTTTTTCACTAAGCGCAGTGGCGTAGAAATAAAAATGAGGTATCGTTGAGATCGTCATGATGTAAGTAACCTACATAACGAGTTTGAACGAAATTGGAGGAAAAAGTTGAATATATCGATTTTTGATCGGCTTTATCGTTTGTTTATTTTTTTTTAAATATCGATTTCTTACGATAAGAACCTATCTCTTACATTGTACAATGTATGTGCCAAGTTCGGTCAAAATCGGTTGGGCGAATCTCGAGGGAAAAGGTATCACATAAACAGACATACACAGAGACATCCTCTTTTTTATATATATATATATATATATATATATATATATATATATATATATAGATAGATAACTTATTGGGTTTCACGGTTTAGAATTCAGAGTAGTTTTTCTCCCTTCAGGACGCAGGCTAATATCGCTCTCCACAACTTCCATTCTTTATTATCTTAGAAATAATAGCCATGATTTCTTCGCAAAGAAAGTGTTTCCGGTTTCGTAATTCATATTGCCAAAACCATGATTTAAAATTAAAAAAAAAAAAAACTGACGCTAACCTCCTTGCATCTTTTCGGGCTAATTTTATCAACTTACATGAAGAGGAATTACTATACTAAACCCATTGATAGGTCAGCTGCTAAAAAAATTGGCTCACTGTGTTCTGCTAGAATCTATCATGCATATCTATAAGTCTACCGTTCCTCGTTGCTTCGAATATTGGACACATATGATCCTATTATCCTGCTATATATTGTAGATATTCTTGACAAAGTCCAAAGAAGAATCAGCCAGAAATTTCCCCTTCACGATAATCGAAGACATGCTAAAAAATAATCAACCAATGAAAATCTTTAAAGAAAAGAAAAAAGAATCATAAGATTACTAAATGTACACAATTTATATTCGGACTCTTGTCCTCATCTTTATTGTTGTTATCACGACGTTTCAGTCATTGTTCCCTCCGGCCTTCATCAGGTGTTTATCAATCTGGGTAACCTACAGCGAATTCTGAACTGAATCCTTTATTTAATCAACGGGGTAGACTGTTCCCATTCCACTGTCTACGTCTAGGGATATCTCGTTTAGTTCTTATTGTTTAGCACTGTCCAGTTACTGTTCGCCCGCTTCCCCTGAGTGCAAGTACACACTGCCCGGTCCAGGAATTGAACTCACAGCCAAATTCAGTAACCAGTACTTTAACCCACTATTGGGCCAAGTTGGTTAAAGTGTAACACACACATCCATTGCTTGGTCAGCTGCTAAGAAATTTGCTTCACTGACTCGTGGTAGACAATTTTTCTCTCCAGAATCTATCTTACATATCTATAAGTCTACCATTCTTCCATCCTTCGAATATTGTTGGCCACCAATGGCTCAGTGCTTCTGCTATGCATTTAGAGATTCTTGATAAACTCGAAGAAAGAATTTGCAATGTTATTGGTCTTGGCCCGTCATCTCGACTTCAGTCATTTCTCCACAACATTTCTTCCCTCTGCCTTTTCTATAAATATTTCTGTTAATTTTTCGGGTGAGCTCTTCGTTGTGGCACCTAGACTTTATGAAATTAAGCTCAGTACTAGTTTGGAAAGAAGGTCTCGTCATTTAAACAGTGGAATTGTCTAGATGTAATCACAAACTTTATAGCATTTTTCGCTTGTGGAACACTCTTCCGGCTCCATGCTTTCCAGGCAACATTGATGCTAAAAAATTTAAACCATTATCAATCACTATCTGCTGTGTTCGTGATTACTCTTCTAGTGTTCTCCATTCTTAATGTTTCTATTTTCTAATACTTTCCCACTCAGTAACACCTTGGTCTTTCTTTTTTAAAGCAATTCCCCCCAAGAAAGACGGGAGTGCCACTAGCATGCAAGGGGTTTCAGCGGAGTCAGAACAAGAGTAAAGAGGCGTGTTTGAGGAAAGGATACAGAGAAGGACGGGGAACAAGCTCAGGGTGTCAGATGTCGATTGGCATTACACTTGAATATTTGTAAGATTATAGTCATCAGGGAAGCAAGTAAGGGGAAGGGAGTTCTACAGACGGGAAGTGCGGGAGAAGAAACTGTTTGAGTAGGAAAGACGGTTACATTTAACCGTTTTGATAGTGAAAGGGATGGGACCGAAATGCCAGCCTAGTTGCACGTTTAAATTCCTGAAGTCTGGTAACCAGCGGGAGTAGCTCGTCGGAACAGTTGCCGTGAAAATATTTGTAGAAGAGACAGAGGGAGGCCACAGTACATCTGTGGGATAGCCAGACTAGATGCCAGATCAGGACCTATCACATTGCATCTCTGGATTTTGTCAAGAATCTCCAGACGCACAGCGGGGACACCAGTCCATATATGACAGCAATATTCCATGCAAGGACGGATGTTTGATTTATAGATTGGAAGGATGGACTCAGACGAGAAAAACCTTCTGGTACGACACAAAGAACCAACTTTCCTTGCAGTAGATGAAGCTATTGATTTAATGTATTTATTCCACCTCATGTCAGTGGACAGCGTGAGACCAAGCAAGCGTAACGAGGCGCTTTTAAGGAGTTGGGAATCAGCCATAGTGGATTTACTGACTTGCTTGGGTTGAAATTGATTTTTTTAAAAGGTTCTCTTTCTTTCTTCAGCTTATGGCTCACCACAGCTACCTTTTCTCCATTATCTGTAAATTATCATGACTTCCTCGGAAATACAGTGATGCAACTTCTTGATTCCGTCCCCAGAGTTTTGAAATCTGATTTGAAATATAGATTCCCTGTCAGTATTTTGTCTTAGGAAAAAATGATTTCCCATTAGCTTATTTCTTAAGAAATCCAAATTAATTTTTTTTCAGTCACTTGATACAAATATAGCTTCGGGCGAAATATAGCTTGTCAACAGATACAAAAGCCATATATTAGGTTGGTGCAAAAATAATAACGTAATAATGTCGTTTTTTGACGTTAAAAAATACGTCAAAAAACGACATTATTACGTCATTATTTTTGCACCGACCTAATAGCTTCAGGCTTTGGCCATCATGACTTTATAGCGGTTAATTTTTTCTTGAATATTTTTTTTTGTTTTTTTTTAAGCATTTCACCCCAAAGCAAGGTGGGAAGCCACTAGAACGCAAGGGGTTACAGAAAGTTTAGAGCAAGATCAGATAGGAGAGATAGAAGAAAGGATGAGGAGAAGGGTAGTGGATAGATCAAGGCAACTGGAGATGTCGATTGACATTACACTTGAATAGCTGGAGATTGTAGCTCCCAGGGAAACAGGAATAGGGAAGGGAGTTCCACAGGCAAGAGGTGCGAGACATGAAGCCATTAGAGTAGAAGAGACGGCTACATTTAGGAGTTTCGACAGTGAAGGGGTGAGAGCGGAATGATAGCCTCGTAGGGCGCTGGAACTCATGACGTCTGGGAACCAGCGAATGCAGCTCCTCGGAGCAATTTCCATGAAAGTATTTGTAAAACAGACAGAGAGAGGCGACGGCGCGTCTGTGAGAGAGCGACTGTAGATGAGACGCCAGGGCAGGGCCAACTACATTGCATATCCGCCTCTGGAGCCTATCAAGAACCCCGAGGCAAACAGTAGGGGCACCAGACCATATATGGCAGCAATACTCCATGCAAGGGCGAGTTGTTGATTTGTAGATCTGGAGGATCGACTCCGGGGAGAAAAACTTCCTGGCGCTGCTCAGGGAATCAACTTTCCTTGCGATGGACGAAGCAATTGACTCAATGCATTTATTCCATCTCAGGTCAGCAGTCAACGTGAGACCGAGAAGCCGCAGAGAGTTGCTCTCGAGAAGTTGAGCGTCAGACATTCTAATGGAGGGAAGGGAAGGATCTCTGTGGTGATTAATAGAGAGCAGCTTTGTTTTAGAAGCGTTGAAGTTGACCAGCCAGTTCATGCCGTAAGGATTTCTTAGAGGTTTCGCAGTGGTTCCTCGTTGATTTCGCCACGCAGTTTAGTATTCCGATTTTTTTGTTGTGTAGCGTCTAATCCATTACATACAATTACGTGCTAATATTCTTAGGAAAGTTATGAACCCTCTTAACCCCTCCCCAGCTATGAGTAAATAGCAGGACAGACTTAGATGGCAACTGGTCTACCGCAGAAAGAAATTGCAACCTACTGCAGGGAAAAATCTGCCTCGTCAGTGATGTATCAAAATATACATGATCGCTTAAGCATGTATCACGCATGGCACATTACAGACTGGGCGTCTATGGACTTCAGTCTAACCTTCTGTTAGGTAGTTTTAGGGCAATGGCCGATTTTAGAATCACTTTTTATTCATGGATTAATATATTGAAATCCGTGAAAATAGAATCCCTGGGCATCCATACAATTGTCACACCGAGTCACAAGCTTTGGACGTTAAGAAATATTTGAATGTTTTTTGGATCTCCCTAGCAATGCAATGTCTTTTGGCCTGAAGTGGTCAAGATGCTAGAAAAAGTAGTTGTCAGTAGGCGACAAATCAGGTTAATATAGTGAATGTGGCAAAGTTCGGTATCCCAAACCGGTGACGTATTTGCTGTGTCTTCCTGAAAACATCTGTCACGAAGCAGTAATGCATCTATCTATCTATCTATCTATCTATTCATCATCTATCTATCTTTTCTAATAAATTCAATCTATCTCTGTCAATTTCTATCTATCTATCTATCTCTATCTATCTATCTATCTATCTATCTATCTATCTGTTCATTATCTATCTATCTATCTATCTATCTATCTATCTATCTATCTATCTATCTCTGTTCATATCTATGTATTTTTCTAATAAATTCTGTTCTTATCAATCTATCTCTGTCAATTTCTATCTATCTATCTATCTATCTATCTATCTATCTATCTATCTATCTATCTATCTAAGTCTGTTCATATCTATGTACTTTTCTAATAAATTCTGTTCTTATCAATCTATCTCTGTCAATTTCTATCTATCTATCTATCTATCTATCTATCTATCTATCTATCTATCTATCTCAATCTGTTCATTATCTATCTATCTATCTATCTATCTATCTATCTATCTATCTATCCTATCTATCTCTGTTTAATCTGTTCATTATCTATCTATCTATCTATCTCATCCCAGTCTGTTTAGAGTTAAATAACTCTGTCTGTTCATATCTATTTACCAGAGTCTGGTCATATCTATCTACCTCTCTGAGTCTGGTCATATCTATCTATCTATCTATCTATCTATCTATCTATCTATCTATCTCAGAAAACAATGGCCGATTTTCGAATCAATTTTATTCTTCAATAAATACATTGCAACTGCGTTTAAATGAATCAAAATAGGATCCCTGAACATCGATACAATTCTGACATCAAGTCACATGTTTATTTACGCCATTGCGACAACACTGCGAAGGTTTGGATGCCAACAAACACGTGAAAGCATTTTTGCATCTTCTTAGCAACGGAATATCTTTTGGCTTAAAATGGTCAAGATGTTAGAAAAAGTGGCTGTCAGTAGACGAGAAATCAGGCTAATATGATGATTGTGGTTAATGTTCGTATCCCAAACCAGTGATTTGATGTGTTTTCTTGACAACATCTGTCACGAAGCAGTAATGCAAAGCTTTATCTATCTATCTATCTATCTATCTATCTATCTATCTATCTATCTATCTATCTATGCCAGCCTTTTCATATCTATTTAGAAAATAACGCTATTAATATCGGTCTATGTAGTTATCTGTCTCAGTTTGTTCATATCTATCTATCTCAGTCTGTCCATATCTATCTATCTATCTATCTATCTAATCTCAGTCTGTTCATATCTATCTATCTATCTATCTATCTATCTATCTATCTATCTATCTATCTATCTATTAGGCGGTTCAGTTAGTAATGTCAGATTTTATAATTAACTTTTATACCCGAATCAATGCATTTAAACAGTGTTTAAATCAGTCAAACCCGGAACCCGATAATCGATACATTTACGCCATCGAACTACGAGGTTATTTATGCCTTGACCATGAAAACGTAAAGGATTTTGACGCCAACAATCTTTGAATGTATTTTCTGCAACTTTGCAATGGAATGTCTTTTGATTAAAGAAATGGTCAAGATGTTTGAAAAGGTGGTTGTCAGTGGGTGAGAGAGATCAGGTGAATCTGGTGGGTGTGGCAATATCTTATTCCACGCCGGTGACCGTCTACAGTGCGCATTTTAGCTAGATGCTGGCAGTAAACGTCAGCTGTGATGTACTGGTTAGATTCCAGAATGTTGTAATTCTTAACGCCAATGAGGGACAACCTGACAGTCATCATTGTCTTTTATTGGTGCAATGCCGGTTTTGGAAACTTTGGGTCTTTCATCATGGTTGATGTATCCTTAAAGGTTACAAACAGATAAAGGTTACTCGAAAAGATTCAGCAACGCGCGCGTAGGGAAAACCTGACAGTCATTTATTGTCGTTTACACTACTAAAAGACAATGCCGGTTTTTCCCGAAAAGGATACTTGGGTCTTTCGCCCCACATGGTTGTTGGTCGAATTTAACGTGAGGTTATCAAATCCCGTAAACTCGGCCAAAAGGGAAGTAACAGCAAAAACGCGCGTAGATGAAAGAAAAGAGGTTTATTGGCAAAAGCCTCGTCTACTAAAAGACAGTGAATTCGGGCTGGCACGTCTCAACTATTTGCCGAAGCAAAGATATTTGCTAACCGCCCCACGCGCAGATGTGGCACAAAGTCGAATTTAACGTGAGGTATCCGAGCCCGTAGGCTCGGCCAAAAATTCCTCGTAACCGCGTATAAAAACGGGGTCGCGTAGCTGTCTACCACGCCACACGAGACTCTGCCCTTCGGCATAGCCTCGTCTGGGTTACTCTCCGCCCGAAGGCAGTGATTTCGATCAGCTTAGCTGGAGACGAATCTCCAACTATTTGCCGAAGCAAGGATATCTGCTAACCGCCCCACGCGCGCAGATGTGACACAAAGCCGAATTTAAAGTGTGGTATCCGAGCCCATAGGCTCGGGCAAAAATTCCCCCTAGACCCCGTAAAAAACGGGGCCGGCTAGCTGTCTACCATAGCATAGTCTCGTCTGGGTTCCTTTCAGCCCAAAGGCAGAGAGTTCGACCAGTTCGACGAATCTAACTGCCGAAGCAAGCCCCAGGTATATCCTCTGCTTACTGTATATAGCTACTGATATAGTCAGTCCACATAGCGTCCTGGGTATCTCGATAAACTACATCCGCGTCCTGGGTATGACAATAAACTACGTCCAACAACAAGGCTTCAGATAATGTTTTCGGAAAAATGTTGCCAGCTATATGTTTTGGGGAAAAATAATGTTGCCAGCTATGCGTTTTTTGAAACAATAATGTTGCCACCTATACGTTTTTTGGTAAATATAATGTTGCCAGCTATGCGTTTTTGAAACAATAATGTTGCCAACTATACGTTTTTTGGTAAAATGATGTCGCCAGCTATGCGTTTTGATTAAATAATGTTGCCAACTATATGTTTAATAGTACTGTATATTTAATATATGTATATATATATATATATATATATATATATATATATATATATATATATATATATATATATATTAACTTGGCATTAAATGACCCACAGTGGTTGATATGCCATAAAACCCAACCAACCAACCAATCAGTCCACATAGGTGATAGGGAGTGTGGGACATTCCATTACAAGAATGGTCAAGCCATTGAGTCGATCGTTTGTGATTGTTATAAAAGATCCATTTCACATTACATATCACCATTCGATCAGGAAATTGACCATTCCAATGTCGCAGTTGCAACATCGAGCACACTTCAAAACGTCGAACTCTTTGACTTTCATTGCCTTCATGTGGAACCAGTTTATCCACTTCCTTTCCCTTGACCAATGTTCTTCAGATTGTCACATATTGCGGAAATACCTACACGCTTTATTTGAGACATTTCTCTGACATTTTGTTTGACAATTATTCTCAGATACTGATTGTCAATTGCAGATGCAAGTCCACTACGATCTTGATCATCAAGACCAATACCTCTACTGCGGAATTTCAGAAACCAGCGCCGTACTACCCGATCACAAATCGAACTCATGCTCTGTTAATGTTGGCATCATTTTGAGAAGTACTATAGCAAAACTTGAACTCATACAAAAAAAGGTAGTTAAAATAAAAATCGTGTTATTTTGACACTACGTTTTTTGTTTTTTTTTACAAATATGGAAATTTTCAATGGAAAATCGGAAGATGCCATTTCTTACCTGATGTCTCTGGTTGCGTCCCAGAAAGAAATGAGTATACAACTGAAATCATAGGGAAATAATAATAATAATAATAAATCGAAATAGAAAACAATGTTGAAATTAAAAACAAAAATAGTATCAATCATAGTAGGTGCACTTGGAATGATAAAAAAAGGAACACAACAGCACATCGAAAAAAACCCTGGAAATCCCAGTTTAAAAGAAATATAAAAAAAGTTGTCTTGATAAGCACAGTCAACACACGAAGAAGAACGGTAACGTAACGCTAGTGATGTTATGGGAGTTAGAAAAACAAATAATGAAATATAGCCATAACAACAGACTACTACTTGCCTTAGGTCTTACCACAGAATTGGTAGATAGTGTGACTATAGAAGAAATCGAAATAATAATAATAATAATAATAAGAAGAAGAAGAAGAAGAAGAAGTGTACCAGTCATAGTAGGTGCGCTTGGAATGATAAAAAAAGAAACACAACAACTCATTGTAAAATAGCTGGAAATCCCAGCTTAAAAAAATTCTTTTGATAAGTACAGCCCACACACTAAGAAGAAATTTGTCCATGTAACGATGGTGATTTTATGGGAATAAAAAACAAATCATGAAATGTAACCATAACAACACACCTCTGTCTGCTTTAGGTCTTCCCGCAGACTTGGTAGGTAGTATGGCCATAGCAGAAAAAAGAAATATAATAATAATAATAATAATAATAATAATTGACCACTTTGTATCAAGTTCGACAGAGTTAGCACCAACTGAATATAAAACTCAGCATGATAGAGTGGGCACTGTAAAATATGCAATTTTTACGGGAATTAAACAAGTGCAAATAAACCAAAATACACCTGCAGCAGCAGCAAATAACCTAAAAAAGAAAGCAAAAACAAATTCAATGTAGCAAATATAATAACAATGGCAAGGTAAGCCACTCCATGACAAATACTCAGCCAGTACCAAAACCGGTACCCATCAGTGGTTGCGTTGTGCTATGTTAAAGGCTGAAACCAAATGATTCATTCTTGCTGCAAAAACCAATGCTTGCTAAATAAAAATTAGCGAGCATACAAACTGAAAAAATTTTGTTCACTCAAAATGCAGATTCTGAGATAAATATCCAGAAACAATTGACCACTTTGTATCAGGTTGCAGAGTGTTAACACCCATTGAATATAAACCTTGGTATGAGAGAGAAAACCTATACCTGCCCTGGAAAATATGCAACTTTTACGAGAAGGAAACTGCAAGCAACTGGTATTAAAATCACGCAGACCCGGTTGCAGATATATGGACCTGTAACAATTTTATATGACTTTACAATACACACAAAACAATGAAAGCTAATAGCCCAGACATCGTGATCACAGACCAAAAAAACAATGTGCTTTCTTATTGCTATGTCAGTCACTTCAGATTGTAATGAATCTTTGAAGATCTTAAAAAAAAAATAACTATCAAAATACTAGGACCTTAAAGTGGAAATCTCAAAAAATGTGGCACGTGAGGACATCAGTAATACCGGTTATAGTTGGAGCCCTCGGATTTATTGGAATTCCAATAGACTCGTTGAAGGGATTCCTGGAAGCCCATACCTTAAAGAAATACAAACAAATTATACTCACAAGTACAGCTCACACATTACGAAGAGCTTTATCTATATAAAATATGTGTCATTGTAATGAATAAATAAATAAATAAATAATAATAATAATAGTATTGGATACAACCTATTTGATGTAAGGAACAAGCATGGGGTTTATTTTTTTTATGCCATTTGGAGGTGATCTGAAAATAAACTTATCAGCAACCAACATCATACGTTATACGAAATAATAATAATAATAATAATAATAATAATAATAATAAAGAAAGGAATCTGCAAGGAACTGGTATCAAAATCAATCAGGCCTAGTTGCAGAGATAGGGCCTGTAACCATTTTATGGGACCTTACAATACACAGAACAATTATAGCTAATCGACCAGACATCGTGATCACAGACCAAAAAAAAAAAAAAAAAAAGAAAAAAATGAATGTGCTTTCTTATTGACATGTTAGTCCCTGCAGGTTATAATCCATCTTTGAACATCTTAAAAACAGCTAGCAAAATACAAGGATCTTGAAGAGGAAGTCTGAAAACCGTGGTACATGGAGACATCAATACTTTCAGTTGTAGTTGGAGCCCTCGGATCGTTTAGAAAAGGTCCCAATAGACGCCTTAAATACCAAAAATATACTCACAAGTGCAGCCCACATCTTATGAAGCGCTTTATCTACGTGAAATGGCTATGATTTTAGATTGTTTTTATTTTCACAAAAATGATCAGTTGAAAATGTGAAGCTATTTCTGATTTTAGACTCCTGGCTGGAACCCGGAAGGCAATATGTTTACAACAAAATTCAAACGAAATAATAATAATAATAATAATAATAATAATAATAATAATAATAATAATAATGAACACCACCCAGACCCGGATACGGAGAGAGGACCTGTTACAATTCTATGGGACTACACAATACACACTGACAGAACAATCAAGGCCAACCGGCCAGATATTGTTATTAAAGACCACAAACAAAAACGATGCCTCCTTATTGATATGGCAG